ACTGGGAAGGAATTCTTTCCTGTAAGGGGGATGAGGGGCTGGAATGGATTTCCCAGAGAAGCTGTGGCTGCCCCATCCCTGGAAGTGTCCAAGGCCAGGCTGGATGGAGCTTGGAGCAACCTGGGCTAGTGGAAGGTGTCCCTGCCCATGGCAGGGGGTGGCACTGGGTGATCTTTAAGGTCCCTTCCCACCCAAACCAGGCCATGATTCCCTGTTCCTGCCAGGTCTCTGCCCCACCTCAGCTTTAAAATCAACCTCTCAGCTTTAAAATCAACCAGTTGCTGTCTTGCCTCGACCCACACAGTGCTCAGCTACTACAGAGTTACTCAACTGCTGCCCAAGAGGCCCCTCGGAGCCGAGGACACGTCACCCGTGACACAGGTCTGTCACCTCACACAGGGCACACAGGTCACTCCAGGGCTGTGAACGTGCTCCAGGCCAACAGTCTGGATTGCTGGAGATTACACAAGAACGTTAAAAAAAGGCACAACCATTGTTGTGTGGAGTAAAGAGTCCTGTGAGTCACCACAGATAAGGAAGCAACACTCATCCCCCTGTGACTGCAACAACCCCCTGCTTCCAGCTGCTCTGCAATTCCAGGGGCTTAGTTCACACAGGGAAATCAGCTCAAAAGGCACCTTAAAAGACCCAGGAAAACTTTCACTCTTGGCTATTTTTAAGAGGCACTCAGCTATTTTAAGAAAATAAAGGGACTTACAGACTCAGGCTCTATGCTTGGCAGTGTTTAAACTACGGCTGTAATAAGGATTTAAATCCCTCTGAGTAAACCCAGCCTGTGTCAGGCTCCTGCTGAACTTTGTGCTGCTCTGCATTATGAAAAGGTGGACAACTGAAGGATAAACCAACTGTCAGCACCTCTCACACCAGGGCTGGTTCCCGAGGACAAGCACACACTGTCACCACAGACAACTCCTGGAATCAGCAAAACACTTGGAGAGGCACAAAAAACCTGCTGCTCCATTCCTGGGATTTATTAACACAGACCCCTGTCCATGATGACACAATGAGGAGTGTGGGGCTTGCTGTCTGTGGCACAGCCCTCTTCCAGCCTTCCCAGAAAACAGAGACACCAGCTATGGAATCCCAGACTGGTTTGGGTTGGGAGGGACCATAAAGCTCACCCAGTTCCACCCCCTGCCCTGGGCAGGGACACCTTCCACTATCCCGGGTTGCTCCAAGCCCTGTCCAACCCTGTTGGCCTTGGGACACCAAACGACCTCCAGAAACCACCTAATCCTGGTGCAGTGATCCCAGATTTCTGTGGGAGCAGGGCCATTGGATCCACGTGCCCTCACAGCGTGTCCATGTCCTGCTCCCTCATGGGGGAAACAAACCCCCCCAGGTTTTCTGGCTTTCCAGACATAAACCCTGCACGGTGCCAGACAGGAACAGCCTCGAGCTGGAGGAATGACCTGGAGAATTCCCGGGAACACCTCAGCATTCCCTCGGTTTTCCTGGCCCTGATTAAGCACCTGCTTTAGGAGCTGTTACATCAGCCTTCCCACCTTACAGCGTTTTTACATCAGTCTGAGCCACCCTGGGGCACAACCTCTGGGGCTGTGACGTCAGGTGGGATATTGCAGCCACATCATCCTTCTTTCACCATGGCCTGGCATTGCAGAGCCAAGGATTCCTGCTGCTTCTGCACCCCTGGGACACAGCAAGCCCTGGGCAGGGCCCAGCACTGCTCCCTCCCGGTGTTCTTGACCTAAATTAAGGGAGAAACCAAAGGTCTCTGCTGTAAAAGCACTAAAACAAGAATTATACAGGTTTTCTATTTTGATGACTTGTTACCACGAGCCGTTTACTCATATAAATGTTTGAGGTATCAACACTCAGACATCACACCTGAAAAACCACCCTGGACATTTGCAGCACCACAAAACCGGGGAGAGGATGAATTGCTATTTACCTGCATCCTGGAACAGCTATTACAGGGTTTTTAACACCCAAATTCTTCAAAAAACACGTTATATTTCCAGTTTGGTCTCAAAAGTCCAGTTCCTGAATATATCCCTTTTAGAAACAACTGCTGAATTATAATATATAGAATACTCTCTCAAATGGAAATGGGAATATTACCACAATTTGTATGGAAACTTCAGTGGTCAACTGAAGCATGTTTTAACCATATGTCAGCTGTCAACATACATTAACACTCAACACATGTGCGACACACCCAACACACGTGTGACACACCCCACACGTGCTAAACGAGTTCTTCCTACTCCAGAACACGTTAAGAAGCCTGCTCGGGTTACAAAAAAAATCCTAAAATGTTTAAAACAAAATTCCTCCCTACAGAAAGTGGTGCTTTCCAGGAAAGCACATCACAGCTCTGGAGTTTCTCGGGGAAAAACCGACGCCAAAGCGCTGGAGTTTCTCTGATGACGACACCACGTTACACCCCAGACTGAGAAGAGAAACCGCATCTTAAAAGGAAAATTTAACTTCAAGTCTACAAAAGAAACTTTTGACAAAATTTCCCATCACGTGTCGAGGATGAAGCACAAAATTCCAGGGAAATAATTAGCACGTAAGCTCATGGAGGCAGATCTGGAATGCTGGAATGACCTCACCCACTCCGTACTGCTCGGAGCAATGTGGGTTTGTTGTGAGGGTTTTTTTTAGCAGCCCCGAAACACACGAATATAAAGCAAGAATATACCTTTTTCCGCTTGGAATTCGCAGCTTTCTCGCCGGACAGAATCCCACGGTGCCCCAAGTCACCGAGCCCACAGCTGCGTCTCTCCAGCTGTACCCGGCACACAGTGAAGTGCTCGGCAGGGACCGAACTCGGCGTCCCTTTTTTCTCTGCGGTCTGAAAGGCTGCCGTGAAATTTAGAGGGTTATATGGATCGTCCGAGGTACAGAACGAGTTCCAAAGTTTCAAGCTTTCTGCCTCATCCACGCTGCCACAGTCCCACTCGTCCTCCTCTTCAGAACTATGAGCAGAGCCTGAGGAGGACTCTGCCCACGAGTCTTCTTCTTCTTCTTCCTCCTCCTCCTCCTCTTCCACATCCGACATCTCCCTTCCCGGATCGCTGGAAGATGTCTGAATGGTGGCTGTGAAGTTCTGAGGGTCGTAGGGATCCAAACTATAGAAGGAATTCCAGAGGTGAAGCCTTTCCCCGTCCTGGCTGCCGGCCTCTGAGTCCGAGGGAAGCTCTTCGCTGTCGAACCCGTCATCGTCATCATCATCCCCATCATCATCCCAGTCCTCCTCACCCTCGCTCTCCTCCCCGCTGAAAACTCCCCCGATGATATAATCGATTAATTTATTCGCACACGCAGGTCTGGTCGAAACCGGGAGGTTTTGCTCTGTGTCCGAGTCCTCACCATCCCCTTCAGGCAACGCTTCCTCCTCCTCCTCCTCCTCCGCCGCATCCCGGACCCCCTCCTGCTCCACGGGCTGTCTCCCTGGATCCTCGGGCTGCTCCAGCTGCCCGGCACCGCCCCGCTGGTCCCAGCACCCCGCAGCTTCCCGGCGAACGTCCCTGTGCTGCTGCTCCTCCTCCAGGCTGTGGTAGCCGTGGTCGGGGTCGGGCACGGGCAGATGCCAGCGCTGGAGGAACGCCAGGCGCTTGCTGCGGAGGAACTCGACCTCGGGCACGGCCTCGGCCCGCAGCGGCTGCGGCAGGTGGCTCTTGCTCTGCTCCATGCCCAGCACGTACCAGTCCACGGCGAGGGCGCTCCGCACCAGCCCGGCCCCCCACAGCCCCGCCGGGGGCTCCGCGCCGCCCTCCGCCCGCTTCTCCGGGGGCTCCTCGGCCCAGTCCGGCGCGGGCTCCGCCTGGGGCAGCAGCACGAGCGGCGGCGGCGCCTTGGCGGGGCAGAGCGCGGTGCTGAGCGCGGGGCCGGGCAGCAGCCGCTGCAGCAGCGCGGGCAGCGGCGACAGGAGCTGCGACAGCACCCGCAGCCACGAGAAGGGCGGGCTCGCCTGGGACGAGCCGCCGGCGGGAGCCGCGCTGGGCCCCGCCAGCTTCGGCCAGGCCGCGGCCAGGCCCAGCCGGGCCCAGCCGGCGCGTTCGCGTCCGCTGTGCTCCATGGGGCCGTTCAGCGCTGCCAGCGGTGCGGAGGGGTGTGCGAGGCGGCGCTCCGTGGTGGCGCGGCGGGTCTGAAGGCTCGGCGGACGGCGGGCGGCTCCGGGTCGGGTCTGGGCTCCATCCTGATGCGGCTCCGGGCAGAAAATGGCGGCGCCGCCGCCTCGGCGCTTTCCGCTCACCGGGGAGGGGCGGGGCGGGGCCGGCCTCCGCCACGCCCACCTCGCGCCGCCGACGCCCATTGGGCGGTGTCGTTGCGAGCCCGCCCTCTCCCCCCGTGGCCACGCCCCTCCGGGATTGCATCAGCCGGCTGGCCCCGCGCGGCAGCGCCCCCGGTGGCGGAGCGCGGAACTGCAGCGGGGGCGCCCCGAGCGGCCCCGCCCCGCCCGCCGGGAATTTGGGGGGTCCCCGGGGGGCCGGGGGGCATTCCCGGGAAAGGAGCCCCACGGGCGGGCTCCCTGTGCTCCCTGGGCACTGGGGACGACAGGGCAGAGGTGGGGATAGATGTGCGGGCAGAGGGGCAGGCAGATGTGCAGAGGTGCAGGTGGACTTGCAGGCAGATATGCAGGCAGAAGTACAGGTAGATGTGCAGGCAGAGGTGCGGGCAGAAGAGCAGCTAGAGCTGCAGAGGCGCAGACAGATGTGTGGGCAGATAGGCAAGCAGGGTTCAGGTAAATTTGCAGGTAGATGTGCAGGCAGATGTGCAGAGGTGCGGGCAAATGTGCAGGCAAAGGTGCAGGCAGAGGTGCAGGCATCATCCACGTGTCGCCCTGTGTCTTTCATCTCCTGTAACTTCCCACCATTGTTCCAGGCAGGAAGGTCCCAACACAAGAGGGTCCCGAGGCAGGAGGGTCCCAGCTCTCCCAGCCCCAGCAGCTCCCCCATCCCCCTCTGCTGGCAAAAATCAGGCCCCCCCTCGGCCCAAGTGCCACCAGAACCAATATTTAAAACTTTTAATATAAAGGTTAAGTTCATTATTCTCGATCCTGAGAAACATTTCGTCCGTTTACGGAGCTGTCGCTGTAAACAAAGCACCACAGGCACCAAGCCCGCACCCGGGGCCGGGTGGCAGGCGAGGAGATGGATGTCCCCACGGCACAGGGACAGGGAGATGGGCCGGCTGTCCCCTTCCCGTGGCATCGGGGAGGGCTCAGCCACACGGAACGGGCACCCCGCCACGCCGCTCTCCTTTGGGAGCGAATTCCCCGGGGTGGGAATTGCCCGGCTCCAGGCAGGCTGGGGCTGGACCCGGAGGGGATACACACCCCCTCCAGCCCACAGCAAAGCCCTGCACCACCTCCCTCTCCCCTCCGCCCCCGGTGCCCGGCTACTCGTTATTAAAAAAAATTAAAATACAGATATCCCAAAGGAAGAAATAAGCCCCGAAACGCCCCCCACGCCTCTGCCCGCCCCTCCCGCCCCGCGTTGCTCCCTTGACACAAGGTAAACTTAAAAAAGGAGGCACCCGTGGCAGGATCCCTCGGGGACACCCCGGGGTGGGCAGCGCCGCGGGGGCCGTGCCGGGGGGTCCCTCAGAGGGTGCCGTGGCCGCGGGACCCCAGGGCGAACCAGCCCATCTTCTCCTGCGCCAGGTCCAGGTCGCGCAGGCGGATGCCCACCTCCCCCAGCAGGATGTTCTCCCAGAAGCCCTCCTCGCTCAGCACGCTCAGCCGCAGCTCCCGCTGCTCCAGGTCCCCCCGGGGGATCCCGTCGTACACCAGCTGTGGGGCACAGAGGGACGGACCCTCAGCCACGGCCCCCTTCGGGTCCCCCAGCCCCGGCCCCGCCCAACCTACCATCTCGTTGTAGGTGGGGTTGCAGGTTTTTCGGGCCACTTTGGTTTTCCTCTTGGTTGTTTTCTGGGGGTCGGGCAGCAGGTAGGTCTTGACGTAGGGGTCGGGGTCGTTGCCGTCCTGCAAGGGGGGCTGTGGGCAGAGCGGGGGGGCCCCGTGAGCGCAGCGGGGGGAGGGACCCCCACCCTGCTCCCACCGGGCACCTACCAGCCCCCGGATGTGCATCACCATGATGAAGAGCTTGTTGTTCTTGTAGGAGATGGAGAGTTTCACCTCCCCGCCGACCTTCCCCAGGGAACGAGCCCACGTGGCGTCTGGAGAGGAGGAAAGCAGGGGTGGGGTGGGACAGCAGCCCCCCACCATCACCCCCCACCATTGCCCCCCTCCATTGCCCACCCCTCTCCCTACCTGCCGGCTTTGGGGTCGGGTTGGTGCCAGCTGCCTTCTCGTCCCGGGGCAGGGGGTGGAAGAAGGTGTAGATGAGGTCACACTGCAGGGGAGGAGGTGACATTAGTGGTGGCTGTGGCGTCCCCGCAGTTCGGGGCATGGGACACGCACCAGCATTCACACAGCGCACTGTCCCACCATGCTGCTGTCCCTGGCACTGCCCCCACCTCCCCGCAGCCCCCTGCCCCAGCTGCCCACCTCTGCCACCTCGGGGGCTGCATGGATCAGGTGCCAGATGTAGCCGTTCAGCTCCTCCTTGCGCCGCTCGGCCACCGCCTCGCCCCGCGAGCGCCCGATGACGAACCTGCTGGGGAAGCTGCAGGGACGGACCCTCAGCCGAGCCCGGGGGGCTGGGGGGAGCCCTGGGGGGCTGGGGGGAGCCCCGGGGGGCTGGGGGGCTGCGGGGGTACCTGGGCAGCAGCGAGGAGGGGAAGAGGAGGCGCAGTTTGTTGTGCAGCTCCTGGAACTCCTCGAAGGTGCGCTGCACGAAGGTCACCTCGCCCGGGCTCTCCCGCTGCACCTTCACCACGTAGGTCTGCGGGGAGGCAGGGCTGTGAGGTGGGACCCCGGGGCGCCCTGAGTGCACCCTTTCAGCTGTCCCCAGCTGTCCCCACTCACGTAGCCCTTGCTGGGGTTGAAGACCCTCTCGTGGCGGCACAGGAAGACGTCGCGGATCCGGCCGGACGTCTTGAGGGTGTGCGTGCGGGGGGCGAAGGAGAGCGTGGGACGGGCGTCCGAGCCCGTGAACTTCATCTGCGCCAGGTTGTGGATGAAGAAGTTGAGCTTGGTGGCCACGCTGCCCAGGCTGGACTCGATCAACCTGCCAACGAGGCCACGGTGTGCTCAGCACGGAGCCGGCGCCGCTGCCCCTCCGTCCGCTCCTGCCCCTTCGCCCACCCCTGTCCTCTACCTGGTGAAGTAGGTGGTGGCATCGGCATCAGAGTCCTGTGGCCTCAAGGCATCGTAGACGTACTTGAGGTCCTCCAGGTCGGAGAGCTCGGGGATGCCACAGGACAGCATCTGGGAAGTGAGGCAGGGGTGAGGGCAGGCGGCGGGGGGACCCCTGGGAGGGGGGGAAGCTGCGGCCCCCCGGCTCTCACCAGCCCCAGCAGGTTGAGGAAGAGGTGGGTGTGCTTGCGGATCAGGTTGTAGGCCTGGCAGCACAGGTCCACGAAGTCGTGGAAGCGGCTGGAGGGCTTGTCCCCGCCGTTGATGACATAGGCCATGTCCGAGGTGAAGACAAACGGCGCCCGGTCCCTGCGCCGGGGGAGAGGAGGGACAGAAGGTGAGCACGGACGGGGATCCCACACCAGCAGGACGAGGAGAGGGGGCTTCACCCACCACCAGGACGAGGAGAGCAGGATTCACCCACCAAACCCCCCCTGGGCAGAGGGAGGCAGCCGAGGCTTTTCTCACCTCTTGATGTTGCCGAACATCTGCGCGTGGCCCAGGAACCTGCCGAAGTCGATGTGGAACATGTGGCCCGTGGTCTTGAGCATGATGTTGTCGTTGTGCCTGTCACAGATCCCCAGCACGTAGGTGGCCACGCAGCAGCCGGCGCAGGAGTAAATGAAGTTTTCCACGGCCTGGGAGGGAGGGAAGGAGAGAGCAGGCGTGGAGAAAGCCTGGACGCGATGGGAAGCGAGGGGGTCTCATCCCTGGAGGGGGGGACATAAGCAGGGACGCTGCCAGGCTCTTCCTCACCTTCTCATACTCGTCCTCCTCGGGGTTGTGTTTCTGCAGCCAGTCTGCCAGTGGCCGGTCCTTGAAGGAGCCCGTCACGCCGTGCTCCACCTGGATTTTGCGCAGGGTCTCGGCGTTGGGGATCATCTCCACCATGCCTGGCGGCCGGGACACAGGGTGAGACCCTTCCAACCCACCCGGGGGGCACCGAGACCCCAACCCCACTCTGCCACCGACCCAGGCACCCCCAAACCATCACCACTGAGTGACAGCCCCCAAAGCCACGCTCCTACGTGAGCTGGTGGGGTCAGACCAAAGGTGGATCACAGGTCCCCACAGGGCCTCCTGTGCCATCACCAGCCCCACGTGCCCCCCTGGGATGCCCTGACCCCAGCTCACCTCGCCCACGGCCCGTGGAGAAGCAGCGGAAGATGACCATGCGCATGTCCAGCCCCTCCTGCACCCAGATCTTGTTCATGATCCGGATCATCTGCAGCGTCAGCATGTCCTGCCGCAGGTCATCGCCACACTGCCAGCAGGGGAGAGCCATCAGGGACAGGGGAGAGACATCAGAGACAGGGGAGAGGCATCAGAGACAGGGGAGAGCCACCAGAGACAGGGGGAGAGGCATCAGAGACAGGGGAGAGGCATCAGAACCATGGGAGGGACATCAGAGGCAGGGGGAGGGACGTCAGAGGCAGGGGGCAGTGGGGGATGAGGGTCAGGGGATTAGGGTGGTCATGCCGGGGGTCTGGGCATGGCCAAAGGTGCCACGTGCCAGGCTCACCTTGAAGATGACTCGGATGTTTTCCCCCAGGGGATCCACGTTCTGGAAGGAGAGCTTGAGCGGGACGGCGTTGGAGTTGAAGTAGGAGCAGTCCTGCCACGGGAGGAAGGCACAGCCCGTCAGGGCGAGCTGGGAGCGGGCACAGGAGACCCCCCGGTGCCCCTTGGGTCCGGCACTCACCCGGGGCACGATGCCCTTCACCAGCAGGCTGGGGCTGAGCGGCAGCCGGCACGAGCCGTGAGCCTTGAAGAACTGCTTCACGTCCTCCAGCCCCTCGCGGAGGATGCCCTGTGGGGCGGGCACGGGGCGGGGGTGGGCATGGGATGGGGTAAGATGAGGATGGGCGTGGGATGGGGTGGGTAAGGGGCAGGGTGAGCACGGAATTGGGTGAGCACGGGATGGGAATGGGACAGGGTGAGCATGGGTTGGAGTAGGTATGGGATATAGTGGGCACAGGACAGGGTAGACACAGGATGGGATGGGCATGGGATGGGTGGGTATGGGATGGGTGGGTATGGGATGGGATGGGCATGGGATGGGTGGGTATGGGATGGGGTGGGTATGGGATGGGTGGGTATGGGATGGGGGGCTGACACCCAGCCCGGCACCCCCTCCCAGCACCCTGGCACCCACCTGGCGGGCGGAGGGGGCAGCATCCCGGACCTGCTGTGCCAGCCTGGCCAGTGTGCTGACCAGCAGGCACTGGCGGTCGAACTCCTCCCGCAGCCCCTTCCCGCAGCAGCACAGCAGGGCCGCCAGCAGGTACTGGTACCGGATGCTGAACTGGGAGTCCTTGAGCCCGTCCTTCAGCAGCCTGCTCGGGGCAGGGGCATGGCAGGTCAGGCGAGGCCCAGGGGACCCCCCCTGTCACCCCCAGAGCCCCCCAAACCCACCAGAAGAAGTAGTGGGTGATCTTGAGGTCACAGATCGCTCTCTTCATGAGGAAGCGCACCAGGGGGCTGTCCAGGTAGCACTCGTACTTCAGGGCCTGGGGAGGGCACAGCGTTGGGGCACAGTGGGACCGGCGGGCACCCGGTGAGACATCCCAGTGCCACCACACACCTGGACCAGCTGGGGCAGGTAGTCCAGCAGCTCCGTGTCGGAGATGGAGTCGATCCACTGCACGGCCGTCCTCCTCACCTCCTGGTCTGGGAACCTGCACCCGGGACAGGAGTCACGGAGGCAGCACCCTCAGCATCCCCCACGCAGGGTGGGTGGCAGTGCCACGGGGTGCACACCCCCACCCACGGCCCAGGGGTGGCTTACGTGGCGTGCAGGAGCCCCAGGGCATCCTGGTGGCTCATGGAGGTCCACTGGCCGAGCAGGGCGTAGATGTCGGGCAGGCAGGCCCAGTCCCAGCTGGGGGCACTGGCCAGCAGCATGGGCAGGGCCCCGGGCTCGGCGTGGCAGTGGCACCGCTTCTCCCAGAGCCGCTGCCGGTCCGCATCTGTCAGCCTGGAGGCGAGGGGGGGGCATGGCACGGGGCACAGGGCTGGGGAGGGTCATCCCTGTGCCCCCAAACCGCAGGGATGGGATGGGCCTGGCTGTGGAGAGAGCTGGCATCCCTCTGTCTCTGGATGGGGCTGGCAGACTGGGGAGGTGTCATCCCTCTGCCGCCCCCCGAGCACGGTGCGTGGGATAAACCCCTCTGAGCCCTCCCTGCATCCCCACCATGGCTCTACCTGTGGGAAGGAGGGGCTGATGGGCAGCAGGACTGTCCCCCAAGGCACAGCCAGGACCCCCAGGCACAGGGGGTCCCCCTGCTCAGAGACCCCTGCCCACCCCACAGGTTTCTGCTCAGTGGATCCCGGCACAGCTGCCGACACCCGATCCCCCATTTATGGACCCTTGGCCGTGCCAGGCTGGACGAGGGGCTGGGCAGCTGTCCCTGCTGAGGGGACATGGCCAGAGAGGGGCAGCCGGGGGGGCAGAGCTCAGGAGGACCGATGACAGCTCCAGAAAACACCAGCTCCAGCCTCATCCCCGCCAGGGGCAGGGGCAGACCCTCAGACACCCCCTGTGCGTGCTGGGGGTCTCTCAGCAGTGCCCCCCCTCCCCAGCAGGGTGATGCCACCCCCGTTTATTCACCAGTAGAGCGATTTCTTCTGCATGGCCTCTCGCAGCTGGCGCTGCTCCTCCTCCCCCAGGCTGCCAAACTCGTACCGGGGGCTGAACTCGGCCGCGGGAGGGCTGGTGAACTTCACCTCGAAGGCCGAGGTGGGGAAGTCGATCTGGGGCAGAGGCAGAGGGTGAGGGGATCCACACGTGGAGCTCAGGGAGGGGGGGATGTCCCATGGAACCCCCCGTGCCAGGACGTACCTGCAGGATGACACTGTCGGGCTGGTGGAAGTTGGGGGCACTCGACCTGGCTCGGGAGTTGTCCTGGGTCGCCGGCCACAAGCCCAGGAGCTTCCTGCCACAGGTCAGGACCCTGGAGGAGGAGGAGGGGTGAGAGCCTGGCAGCGGGGGCCACTCTGCCAGGGCACGAGGGTGGCACCGCTGCAGTGGGGACCCCACCACGGCACTGGGGACCCTCCTGTGCCCCTGGGGGATGCCAGCACGGCCCCTTGGTGGTGGTGGGACACCCCACGTACTGCCTGAAGTTGAAGAGGGGGGTGGTCACCCAGCCCAGGGCCTCGGGGACCCGCCGCTGCTTGTTGGTGTCGGAGGAGCTGCCTGGGGGTGGGACGGGCACAGCGAAGAGCGTGACACTGAGCAGCGTCTCCCGTGGGAGATGGTTCACCTGGACTGGGAAGCAGATCCTGCAAGAGAACGATCAGAGAGAGGCTCAGCCATGCCAGGGACGGGCACTCCCAGCACCCCATGGCTCCAGCCCCCCTCTTGGGATGCCAAACGTGCCCTGGGACAGCCCAGCCCTACTGACGCCTTTACTGCTGGCACGGGGGTGCTCCGTGTCCCCACTGTGGGATGGAGGTCCCCTGCCGTGGGCAGACACCCTGCAGGGAGCAGTTGGGTTTGGGGAGAGCCAGCTGGTCCTGTCCCTGTCCCGGGAAGGTGACCGTGGGACAGGGGGCCGCCATGGACACCCCCCACTGCTCACTGACCTTGTCCCACGGCCTGGGGGGGCCTTGTGGGACCCCAGGGCTGAGATTCCTCTCCGATTCCTCTCCTCCTCCTCCCAGGGAGCCCAGGGTGGCAGCTACATCCCGGGGGAAGGGGGTTGCTCGCGGCCGTCCCGCCGGGTGCCTGTCCTTGGGGCACCTTCTAAAATTATCCCGTCCCATCCCCACCTCCCCGCACACTGCGAATGCCAGGCATGGCGAGGGCCCGGCCCGGCCTCCCTGCCTGCTCCCGGGGCTATTTTTGGAGCAGATCCCCTTTCCCGGGTGCAACAGGCAGGTCCGGAAGGGCAGAGCTGGCGCTGGGGCTGCTGCTATTCCAGGGGATGACACAAGAGCTTCCAACACCCCAAAGCCAGGGAGAGGTGCAGAGAGGAGCTGCTGGAGCAGGGGAGAAGGAGGAGGAGGAGGAGGAGGAGGAAGGCAGTGTGGCTGGGCATGGCACCGGGACCCCCGTGCCCACCCCGTGGTTGGGGCACTGCCTTACTGCTGGTCCCAAATGATGAGGTGGAAGAGGTATTTGTAGACGTGGGCCTTCCTGGTGAGCAGGGGGCTGCACAGCTCCTTCCCGCCGTGGCTGAGGGAGCAGGAGAGGTAGAAATCTTCATAGCTGCGAGGGGAGAGAGGGGGCCATGAGCTGGGGGGGTCAGAGGAGCTGGTACCCAGGGGGCTGCCCTGCCACGGGGCAAACGGGAGGATGGAGGTGCTGAACCCAACGCCTTCCCCAGGCCCGGGAAAGGAGAGGGGCAGAGCCGGCAGCCCCCCCCCCCCGTCCCCCCCGTCCCCAGCACCATATGCCACCGCACATCCCGTCCCCGGGGGGGGCGGCGGGGGGGCCCTGCCATGTGGCAGGTGCCGAGCGACAATCCGGGCAGGGCGGCGGGGCGCCGGGGGTCAGGGGCTGCCGGCATTTCCCAGGCTGCCGCCTTTGTTCGGAGCCAGCCACCAAGGGGAATACATTAAGGGCAGCACAAAGGCGAGGGGTCCCCGGCGGGGCGGCTGCTGCCGGCGCCGCTGCCTCGCCCACCCCGCGCCCCCCATCACACCCCCCCCCGGCCCCCCGCGCCGGGCACGGGCACCGAGGCACCGAACAAAGGGCCCGTGGGGCGTGGGGCCGCTCCGTGGTGCCATATGTCACCTCCCCCGGGGGCGGTGTGGGACTGGAGGGATGCGGCGTGATCCGTGTGGTTTGGATGGGGAGAGCGCAGCTCCTCCCCCCCCGGCACCCCCGGGCTCGCGGTGGGATTTGGGGGTGTCCTGTGCAAGGTACAGGAGTTGGACTCCACAATCCCTGTGGCTCCATCCCAGCTCAGGATATTCTATGATTCTCGGAGTCTATGATCCTACCCTGGAATCCCAGCCCAGGAAGATCGGGGTGGGTTAGCCCTTGCTCCTGGGACCTGTGGGGATGGGAGAGCACAGCAGAGCCATCCCATCCAGAGCTCGGGTGAGCATCCCTCCCTGCCCATCAGCACCAGCATCCCCAGGCTCAGGGTGGGATTTTGGGGTGCCCTGAGTCAGGCTCAGTGATCCTTGCGGGATCCCACTCAGGATATTCCATGATTCATGGCCTTTCCCTTTCTCTGACACACCCTCAGAGCCCCATAACGAGCCCTTCCCACTCGGGATATTCTAACATTCTCTATTCCCGTCCCGGAATCCCAATCCAGGAGGCTCGGGCTGGGTTAGCTCTTACTCCCTCCGTGCCTGCGAACATCTGGGACAGGAGGACGAGGACACTCCTCCAGGGGAGGGCCAGCCCTGCCCAGGTGTGTTGGAGCCGCCCTTACCTGGCGGCCCAGGTGATGGGGATGCGGTGGGTGGCATAGACGGTGAAGGACAGGGGGCAGGAGAGGAGCTGAGCCTCCTGTGCCACGCCCAGCTCCCGGCTCCCGTGCACGGCCGGCTGGAAGTCGGCGTTGAAGGTGCTGCAGTAGAGCTCCACCATGTCCAGGATGGCGGCTGTCAGGCTCTCCACGATCCGCTCTGAGGGAACAGGGACAGGGATGAGCCCCCCGTGGACCCCACTGCCTCCCGGGACATCCCTCAGGGCCGGGTGTGGGATGCTGGAGGGACCCAAGGGCAGGTTTCCCCCAGGACAAAGTAATTCCAGCCTTCCCATTTGGAGTTCACACTGAGGAACAACAACCAGCCCCCCAGGAAACCTTCCTTCTTTTTTTTTTTTTTAACCAGAATGCTTTCAAGCACGTTGGTTTTTTTTTTGGCCTTGATAATTGAAAGGGGAGGGGCTTGAAGATTAAAAGCACCACGAACTCGAGCCCAGAAGGAGAGGGGGGAGAAGGAGAACAGAAATACCTCGATTTTCCCTCTTGGCCAGGACATTTGGATCCTGTTGAGGAAAAAAAGAGAAACCACAGGAGCCCCCTGAGCGCCAGCCCCGCGCTGCCGGGGGAGCCGAGGCGGCCTTTACGTAACCAGCCCCGGCTGCCAGAGCCAGGCAGCTGCCTGCTCCCAGATAATTCGGGAATTTTCCACGTGGTGCAGCGGGAGGAAGCGGGGGAAAGCAGCCAGATGTGACAACGTGCTTCCCCTCTGCAGCCCCTGGCTGAGCCACCCCCTTTCCCCCCCACTCACCTTCTGGATTTTGGGCTGCATGCGGGAGGGGCAGGGGGGCATCTGGTTGAGGGCTGCCGTGATCTCCTGGGACTCCACGGCTGCCAGGGCGTTGCAGATGGCCATGACAGACTGGATCACCCGCTCTGCCTTCAGGGGGAAGTCTCCCTGGAGGGCAGAGAGGGGCTGATGTGGGACCCCCGGGCAGCTGAGGGGGCGGGGGCTGCCCCCCGGCACACAGCCAGCACTGGGGGATGTGTCAGTCTGTGCCTCAGCTTCCTCTATTTTCCCCTGTCAGAGGAGGGTTAGGATGGATCTCAGGGAAAGGTTCTTTCCCCAGAGGGTGGTGGGGCACTGAACAGGCTCCCCAGGGCAACGGGCACGGCCCCAAGGCTGCCAGAGCTCCAGGAGGGTTTGGACAACGCTCTCAGGGACAGGGTGGGGTTTTGGGGTGTCCTGTGCGGGGTCAGGAGTTGGACTGGATGATTCCTGTGGGTTCCTTCCAGCCCAGGGTATTCCCTGATTCTGTGATGATTCTACGATTCACAGCCACTCCCTTTCTCTGACACCCCCTTTGAGCCCCACAACGAACAGGGGAAAGAACCCACAGCAAACCAGGCAAGGGAGCCCCCAAAACCCCCCTCCAGCCCTGCTGCTCACCTCGGCCGCCAGGAAAGCATCCACCTCGTTGTGGAAGGTGTCGAAGAGGAGACTCAGGGCCTGCCTGGGGGACAGGGAGCAGAGCTCAGCCCCGGCCAGGCAGGCCCCTGGAGTGGGGGGCCGGTCCTGCTGCACCCCCCTACCTGCTGATGGTCTGTTTGATGGGCCTCTCCTGCAGGTGGATGTAGTGGTTGAGGGTGGAGGGGCTCTGGTCGTCGCTGGCCTGGGGATGGAGAGATGCTGAGCGGGGATGCCCCCACCCCGGGGGGATGGCACAGGACCCCCCGATGCCCCCCGCGCCCCCGGCACCCACCGTGCGGGCCAGGTCGCTGCGCACCCCCTTCCTCCTCATCAACTGCAGCCGGATGTCCGTGTCAAACTTCCTGCAGTGCTGGATGTGCTCGTGGCTGCCCAGGGCGTGTTTGCTGCGGGGACACGACCTCACGCTCGTCCCCTGCCGCGCCCCAAAATCCCACCCGGGCTGCCCCATCCCCACATCCCGCGGCCAGGCAGCCTCGGCTGGGGCTCAGGGCGGCCTCCTGGCCTGCAAACGGACCTTTGTGGCACGAGGAAACCCGGAGAATGAGCCATTGTTTTCCCTCCTTCCCCTGCGCCCTGCACAGAGCCGTGCCCGGCCCTGCCGGCGCGACGGGGCCGGGAGCGGAGCAGCCCGTCGTGCCAGGACGTGCCCGGCGCTGCGTGGGAAGCAGAGCACGGATCTGAGGAGCTGGAGGATGCTCTGGCTGGCAGCAGGGCTGGGGTGAGCCCCGGAGCAAGGAGTGACAGCCTGATCCCGCTGTGCCCACCGGCATGGGAAGCCCCCCTGGAGTGGGACCCACTCTGCCATCCAGACCCGCTTCCTCTGCTGGCTCCGGGGAGAAGGAGCCAGTTCAGCCCTGGCTCAGTCCCAGTGACAGCAGCTCAGCCTGGTTTGCAGAGCTCAAGGGCCCGGCTGGCTCTGCAGGGGGGGTTTGGCACTTCCAGCATCTCCTCTGCCACGGGAAGATGTGGGAAGAAAAGACCTGTGACAAAGGGGTTTTATGTCCCGGGGCTTTCCCAGAGACCCTTTGAGGGCCCCGGGAGATACGTGGAAATGTTCACTGGGGACTGCCCTGCTCCGTGCCCGGGATGTTCCCTGTTCCCTGCCAAAAAAGCAGGAGCTTCGTCCCTTTGGGAAATGCCATCCTAGATGGATGGATCCACCCTGCAGCTGGGTGATCCCTGGCAGCCCTGAGTCTCCTACAGCAGGTTCGGAGATGCTGCTGTACCCACACATGTGCACACCTGTACACACCTGTACACACATGTACACACCTGCACACACCTGCACTGGGCTGTTTGGAAACCCACGGGCTCAGCACTGACAGGAACAGCCCCTTTGGGTGGCCCTGGAGCCCCTTTGGGTGGCAGGAGCAGAGCTGGGCTCTGCTCCGGTGCCGTGCAGCCTTCTCCCGGTCCCAGCAATTCCCAGCCGTCCCTTTAGGGCCCAAACCAGCAGCTCCTGGAGGCCCTGGCAGAGCTCCCACCGAATTCCCGTGGCAGGGCCAGGCCCAGGGCAGCTCTCCAGCACCAGGAGCTGGCTCCTGCCCGGAGCTGTGGCTGCTGCATGTCCCTCTGCAGGGAGCTCTCCCGAGCCTCCAGACCCCCGAACCCGCATGGAAACACAGAATTCCTCCAGGAAATGCAGTGAGGCAGGGCAGGAGGGATCCCCATCACCCACTCCTGGCTCTGCCCAGTGCAGCCCTGATGCTCCTGTGCCCCTGACATCCCTTTCCCACCTCCTCCTGGAATTTAACCAGGGGGCTGGGAGAAGCCGGGCTCCGCTCAGTGACACGGCTTGTTATTAATACTCCTCCAAAGAGCTTTTTTGGCAGCTCCCTGCTCTCCAGCCCGTTTTCCAGGCGCGTGGGGGAGTGTGACGGACACCCTGCCACCGGGAAAGATGCTCCCAACATGCTGCTTTTGGCAGGAGCACCGACACAGCTCCAGAGGCAGCAAATGGACCGGGATCAGCCCTGGACATCCAGCACGCCCTGCCAAGGCCATGCTTGGGTCCTGGAGCTCCTGGGCTGAGTTTTGCTGGGTTTGTGCCCCCTCCCTGGCCACTCACTTGTGCAGGAATTCCTCGAGGCCGCAGATCTTGAGCAGGAAGTCCTCGACGTCGACGGCGTGCAGCTCGTCGTGGGTGTAGCACAGCGCCTGGTAGATGAGCAGGTCCACGGTGGAGGAGCCTGAGGGGAGGAGGAGCAGCCCCGTGAGCCCCTGCGGGGGTGGGAACAGTGGGATTCCCCCCCCAGCCCTCAGCCGGGGGGTCACAAAGGGGGTCCCTGAGCAGCGTGGGGCACTCACAGTCGCAGGTGAAGGTGAGGGGCTCCCGCAGGCTGTCACACACCACTGTCACCTTCAGGCTCACGCCGTGGCCCAGCTGCTCCGGGCTGAGGTTCACGGCGTTCCACACCAGCCCCGTGAGGGAATAGTCCTCGGTGCTGGAGCTGGAGCGCAGCCTGCGGAGGCAGGGACGGGTCAGGGACGCTGCCCGGGTTTGGGGTTTGCCCCAGCCCCTGAAAAACGCCTGTTTGGGGGCATTTTGCAGCGGGAGGCTCCTGCCCTGGCTGGGTACTCACACGTCCAGCATGTGGCAGAAGGCAGCCACCTCCTCGTCCCGCTCCTCGGACACTTCGAAGAGCTCGTAGCCGTTGGTGAAGGAGTGAGGCCGGGGGGCAACCTACGGGGCAGAGCACGAGCCCATCAGCTGGGCACTGCCTCCCTGGGGCTCCAGCCCACCGGGATGGGGCTCACTGCATCCCCCCAGGCACTGCCCCCCTGGGGTCACTGTGGTGGGGGCAAAGTGGCTCTGGCAGCAGCACAGGGGGACGTGGGCTGGCATGGGGAGGGCTGTGGCAGGTGGGCACCGGCCCCAGGATGTGTCACTGGGACCTTTCCCATGGCTGGGAGAAGGGAGACCCCACCACCCGCCCAAAAAACACCCACTCCCAGTTACTTCCAAAAGCCCCATCAGGGATATTCCTCGGGGAGACAAGGGGTGGGCAGAGACAGACCTGAGGACGGGCAGGGACTGTCCCCAGGCCATGGGGGTGCTGCAGGGGAACCCCTGCCCGTGCCCTGCCCGCTGCTCTCCCACCACAGTGCCGGGGCAGGTGGCACTGCTGTGCCAGGCCCCCCCCAGCGTGGGGGTCCCAGGGGCTCCATCGCTCTCTGGCAGCGAACAAAGGCCCCTCTGTCAGAGCAATTAACCCAGGCAGCAGCTCCCGGGAGGCACGGGGAGGTGGGGAGCGCTGCAGCCACTAAAGGCAATTTTAATGCTCTTTTATAATTAGGTTCTGGCACTTAGAAAGCCAGGAGTGACTTCAGGAGCCCCTGCTGTGCCCCTCGCCCCGTGGGGAGGGGGGATCCCTGAGGAAGGTCAGGGATCCTGTCATTTATCTCCTCCTCTTGCTGGAGGTGGGATGAGCTGTGCCACAGCCGGGGCTCTGCCCTTGCCACGGGCATCCCAGCAGGGACAAGGGATGTGGCAGCCCCGAGGGTGAGCCAGTGGCAGTGCCAGCATTCCCTGACGCCTCTGGGAGCAGCGGGAAGTTATCCCACTCAGCTCAGGGAAGAAGGGAGCTGGGATTGGAAAGGATGTTGTGAGCCAACAGGAAAGGGATCTCCCAGCTCTCAGGCAGAGACTCCCATCTCTTTCCAAAGGATCTGGTGACATTTCATGAGCTGGCAGGATATGGGCCCATTGCAAACCACCTACAGGCTCTGGAGACCTCAGCACCAGCATCCCTGGAGCAGCTCCAACCATGGGACTGGGTACTGCTCATGCCCTCCAGTGGGCACTGGGCTTTGGCTGCAGGGTCTGGGGTCCAGCAGTGCCCGGGCATGAGAGTGAGGAGAGGAGGCAGCACATGGAACACCCCATCCACTCAGTGGCAGAGGGATGATGTCCGGGTGGGATCTGCCCTGCTTGGCTCCCAGACCCAGTTCTCCCACCCCAGAGGGTTTTGGCCGTGGCTGCATGATCTCACACCCCTGGAAAAAGTCTGACTGATCCCTGGGGATGATGTCTCTGCCTACAGATCCCTCTGCCCACAGCACAAACAGGAATCCAAGGAGCCGCAGCAAAGGGCACGCAGCAAACCCCCAGCTCCCAGCCCAGTGCTGGGTTCCCAGCTCCCAGCTCCATCCCATCCCCATTCCAAGGCAGGGAAAGAGGAGCCTCTCACCGGGTCAACGGAGATCCTGCGGTTCTTGCCTGGCGCCAGGTTCTTCCTGCTGCCGTACGTCCGCGGGGGCACCTGGGGGGGCATAGTCTTGCTCCGAGCCACTGGCTTCCCACTTGACTCCTTCTCCAAGATGCTCCTGCCCTCCTTCCAGCCCCGGGAAGCTTCCCTCAGCACCCCGGACTCGTAGGTGGACTTGAGGTTGAGGCAGGTGATGGCGTCGATGCCGCCGTAGCCGCCGAGGCCGAAGGGATCCTCCTCGGAGATGCGGCGGCCGAGCAGCTTGTCCTGCGCCCGCTCCTGGGCCGCCGAGAACATGTTGATGTCCCTGGGCTGGGGGCCTTTGGAGGGCGGCGGGGACCCCTTGCCCAGGCGTTGGCCGCCCTCGGGGGAGCCCCAGAGCGGGTGCCGGGGGGGCAGCGGGGGCGGCGAGAGCTTCTTGGGGGAGCCGCCGCCGCCGCCGTGGGGCGAGGTGCCATTGAGGGGCTCCCCGAGGAAATCCCCCCCGGAGCCCTCGAAGATGTAGAGGTAGTCCCCGCTCAGGGGGCCCTTCAGCCAGGGCTGGGGGTCCGGGGGGCGCGGGGGGCTGGGGCCGGGGGGCGCGGGGGGGCCCTGGGGCTCGGCGGGGCCGTTGGAGCTGAGCGTGGGGTCGGAGCCGGACAGGCCTCGCGCCGCCTTGATCCCGGAGCAGCCGTTCCTGTCGGCGGGGTCGTCCCAGGAGATGAGGGGCCGCTCCCCCCTCTGCTTGGCCCGGCTCTCCTCCTTGTCCTGCCGCAGCCGGGACAGGGCGTCGTATTCCATCTGCAGGGCCTCGGCCAGCGCCAGCTCCTTGCGGCTGATCCCCAGGGACTGCCAGCGCTCGCCATGGCTGCGCCGAGCCGACATCGCTCCCGGCAACCCGCGCCGCTTCCTGCCGGGATGGCGGGTCAGGAGAAGGCCATGCTGCTGCTCCGCTGGCTACCTGCGGGCAGGGCAGGGTGAGGGTGCTGAGGGTGGGCTGAGGAAGGGGCTGCAAGAAGGATGGAGAGGGACTTGGGACACGTGGAGTGACAGGAGAAGTGGGAACAGCCTTAAACTGAAGGAGGAAGGATTTAGATGGGATATTGGGAAGAAATCCTTCCCTGTGAGGGTGCTGAGGCCCTGGCACAGGTTGCCCAGAGGAGCTGTGGCTGCCCCATCCCTGGAAGTGTCCAAGGCCAGGATAGACAGAGCTTGGAGAAACCTGGGCTGGTGGAAGGTGTCCCTGCCCATGGAAGGAAGTGGAACTGGGTGAGTTGAACATCCCTTCCCACCCAAACCATTCTGTGATTCTCTGACCCTCTGATAAGGAAGGCCAGGCTGGCAGCTGGTGGCACAGCCCTTCCTCTCTGCCATGGAAAGAAGGAAACATGCAGGGGCTCAGCAAAGCCACAGGGTAAAAATAAAGATTTTGCTGCTTCCTCACGACCTGATGGCCACCAGCCAGGCAGTGCAGGCAGGGCAGGCAGGGCAGGCAGGGCTGTCTGGCCCCACAGCAGCTGTTGGGGCTATTGCTGGAACCCGACGTATTTCCCCGAGGACAAAATAAGCCCCAGGTTGGGGAGGGCCCGGGGCTGGGGCTGCAGCTGGGGCTGAGTCACCCTGAAAGCCCTGGGGACCTGCCCTGGCACGGGCTGGGCAGCTGTGCCCATGATCCTGTGGCATCCCCAAGGAAGGGCTCTGAGCCCCCTGCTCAGCTCAGCACCATTATTGTACCACTTGATAAAAAGTCAGCCCTCGCCAGCAAAATGAGGGAATTCTGAGAGAGTATGGAAAAGATGAGCAGAGTAAGGAAGGTCTGAGGGTGACAGCATCCTGCCTCCAAACCCTGTGTCGGGAGAGGCCCAGGACAGCCTGGAGCTCCCACTGCTCCCTGGATCCTGCTGCTGTTCCCCAGCACCCACCAGCCTGGGCACTGATGGACACCCAGACAGCACACTGAGCACTAATAACCCCCTTGGATGGATCCCCCTGAGCCTCCCCCCAGCCCTCAAAATGCAGCTGCTCCACAGCACTCAGCTGTGCAGGGGAGAGCAGGAATGGCTGGACTGGGATCTGCTCCCTGGCTCCCGACCCGGCGCCTGCAGAGGGTGGTGATTGCAGCTCGTGCTCCCCAGGGAAGGATGTGACACCTCCTCTTCCCTTCCTAGCAAAATAAATAACTAAGTGGATGTTAAACAGAAGAGTGGAGCGAGCCCAGAGCTCTGGGGGATGGCCAGGACCTCAAATCCCTGGAGCTGAGAGGCAGCGGAGTGTTTTGGGGCTCTGGCCAGGGCTGGCTCGTGAACCTCGGGACACAGGGAGGACACGGGACCCCTGCTGTCACCCTGGGCTCTCCTGTGCACCACACTGGGCTCTGGTTGATGCTCCAGTTCAGGGTAAAAGGGTGCAACTGCCCCTTCCCAGTGTTTTTGCTGTGGAAGGCACCGCCGAGGGCTTTGGGCATCGCTGAGCTCGCTGTGCCCACAGCTGGGGGGGAGCAGGAAAACCCTCACCCACAGAATGCAGGAGCAAGGAGAAGGCCGGCAGACCCTGCTCTGATCCCAGGGATGGAGGAGCCCATCTGGCCCCATGTGTGCCCCCCACATCCCACCCCAAGCACGGGGCAACCACGTCCAGCCCAGGCTGTGCCGGTGACCACCCTCCTCCAGCCCAGGGGAGCAGCACCAGTGCCACCAGGCCGGTCCCCTGTGGTGTCACTGTCCCCTCCCAGCCCCCCCAGACACGTCACTCCCTCCCCACCCTCCAACAGGCCCCCCTGACCCCGGGGTGTGCAGGACCAGATGGCTGCTAATGAGCCTGGTCCAGGCTCCACATCTCCAGGCTGATCCATCCCCTCCCCAGCACAGCCTCCCCCAGCCCCCCAGCACCAACCCAACCAGCATTTCTTTGCTTTCTGACTGGAAAAAAATGGCTCCAGGGGGGAATGACAGGCTGAAAATGTTCCCTTCCCCGGCTTTTCAGGCCCTGCTGGCAGCTGTGGGCTTTTCCTGGAAAAAGAGAAATCCCAAAAGCTGGCAGTCCCGGGCTCCTGGAAGCCGAACAAAGAAAACGGGCTTTTAACCCAAAAGCAATAAACCCGGAGTGATTTTTGTGGCTGACAAAGCCACAACTCCGCTCTCATCTCCAAGAGAAACATCTGCATCTTGCTGACGTGCTGAGGAGAGAAATGTCCCCGTGGGGTCGAGCCCAGGATCCCGGTGGGACGGGGCTGGAACTGCACCTGGGGACGGGGATTGGGGTGGGGATGGGGAGGAAGGTCCAACCCCGACTGGTCACAGCAACCCCCCAGTGCCAACACCAGCCAGGGAAAAGCCACGTGGAGAGTGGGAAGGGTCTGCCTGCAAACCAGGGAATGTCACCTGGGCTGGGGACACCACGAGCACCCCCAGGCAGGTGGCTCAGCCCCTTCCCTCACAGCTGGGGCAGCAGATGGACCGTGGAGGTGGAATCCACATGGAACAGCCCCAAGCTCTCCTGGTGGCCCTCCAGGTGCCCGTCCAGGGGCAGGACTGGTGCCCAACCAGCACTCCTGGGGTTTGATGAGAACCTTAATGATCCCATCATTAGGCTGAGAGGGTTTAGGGGGGCCCAGCCCCCTCTGCAGACACTCTGTGCCCACCCCTGCTCCTGGCACCTGAGCAGCATCTGCTTGGTGTGGGGACACCGAGCAGGATCCCATGGCAGAGCCAGCCCTGACTGGGGGCACAGGATCCCAGGGCAGAGCTGGGGGGGGTTCTCTGTGGCCCCCATCCCTCCATCCCTCCCTTCCCCCTCGCAGGCAGCTGCGCTGGGAGCACACGGACATCTGGGAGGACATCCGAGGGCGAGGAAGCAAAGCCCTGGAGGGGCACATTCCCGGCGGTGGGAGCGGGATGGAGGTTATGCCTATCAGGGAGACAATTCACTCCCATTTATAATCCAGCGGAGGGAGGAGCGGCCCTGAGAGGGATAAAGCACCAGCCTTCACCTCTGGGGCTGGGGGTCCATCCATCCACCCGGCTGCTCCCACCCAGCAGGGTGAGCCACGGCATTCCCAGCCGCTGGAGTGGCCCTGAGCAGGGTGAGCCATGGCATTCCCAGCTGCTGGAATGGCCCTGCCTTGGGGACACGGAGCTGCTCCTGGTTGTCCCCAGCCACGCTGTCAGTGGGGTGACAAAGCTCCCTGCATGCACTGGATCCTGGGACATCCCCTGGCAGCAGGGATGCTCCAGGTCCTTGTCCCACAGAGCTCATGGCATGGGGGGAGAGGTTCCCAGGGCTCCCAGCAGCTCCAGCACCCCCAGAGCAGGAATCCACCCCCTTCCACCTCCAGAAGAAACTCTCTGCTTTCAATTCTCCTTTTCCCCTCCAAAACAGGAGGGAAATGGGGCATTTCAGGATCTCTCAGGCAATCCCAGGGATTGTGCTCGTGGGTTTCCAGAGGGGGTTGGAGCTGGATCCCCCCGCCAGGAGCTGTCACCAGCCTTTTTCAGGAGCGGGGTAGGAAGGGCCCAGAGCTCATCCCTGTCTCCCACGATCCAGCCCCGCTTCCAACCTGTTGCCTTTCAGCAGGAGGAGTTTCTTCCTCTTCCAGCTGATACATCTCCTATTAATAGCAAAGTCCAGCCTGGTCCAAGCTCTCCGCTCTCCAGAGCAGGCAGGATGTGAGGCTGGACAATGCCAAAGGCTCTTCCATCATTTTCTACGTATTTCCACCCTTGGGAGGAAATCCTGCCCTGGGAAGGTGGGTCGGGTTTGGGACGGGAAAGCCCCAACTCAGGGCAGCCAAAGGTGGGAGCTCCTGGGGGCACCACCTGGAGCCGAGTCCTGGATGGGGACAACGGAGGGGACACGGAGGGGGTCCCACCAGGGTGGGGTTGGGGGGGATGTCAGAGCCCTGACTGCAGCGAGGTGGGAGAGCCACACTGAGATCCACGAGGTGTGAGAGCCACGCTCTCAGATCCACGGGAGATGCTGAACCTCCCCCAGCACCTGCAGAGTGCAGGGATGAGCAAGGTGGGACCTTCTCTAAAGTCACCAGCCCCCCCGGGACCCCCCGGTGTCCCCACGCACTGCAGACCCCTCACCTTGATGGCGAGGCCAAGGCCCTCCTGACACCCAGAGCCCTCCTGGCCCCGGAGCTCACCCACGCTCAGACTTTCCAGATTACTCAGCCCGTGCTGCTCCAGCGCCCACCACCCTCCCCAGGGCCGGGTTTTTGGGGTGCTGGGCCCCCCTGGGGGATGCTGGAGGTCATGCCAGGCTCTGCCCGGTGCCAGCACTGCCTCCTATGCAAATCTTGGCTTCCTCCCTGGCACCTGCCCGGCTGCACCGGCAGCGCTGGGGTGGCACAGCCTACCTGGGGTCAGCAGGGAAAGGAGGGGCTGGAGCCCCACAGATGCCCTGGAAAGCTGAGCAATGGGAAGCACGGCACAGCCTTAGTGCTCCCCACCACACCAGCACCCACGGGAAGCATCCTGCCTGCTCACAGGAGCTGGGACGAGCTGGGAAGCGGCAGCACTGCCCGCCCTGCCCCGTGTCCCACATCCCAGTGCTCCAGGTCAGCCCCAGGGGATGGATCCCGCTGCTGTGGCGGCAGCTGTATCCGTGCCACATGCTCCTAAGTGTTCCCTGTTGCCATGGGGCTCTCCCTGACCCAGATCCCGAGCGGGATCCACAGAGGACACGTATCCTCCTGGAGTGCCCCGAGGATGTCCAGCAGCGGGGAGCACCCCCAGCCCACAGCACCCTGCTGGGGTACAGGGGCCCCACAATGCTCAGCAGACCCAGCCCAGTCTGCACTGGGAACCACCTCCCTGGGCTGCTCATCCCGCAGGATTCCCGTGCTCTGGGAGAGCCACAGCCCAAGGACACCCACGGACACAGGCTGGACACACACACGGACACCCTCACTCGGGATGGGGCTGGGGGTGCTGCTGCTGCTGCCACAGCCCTGCTGGTCCCTCCTCGTGGGACCCCCGGCCTTTGCAGCCCCCCGGCCTTCCCCCCCCCTCCCCAGCCCACAGCCCGGGGCATCCCTGTGCTCCCACATCCTGGTGCATCCCGGCACACGGAGCACCCGCTCCCACTGCAGC